ATTAAGCATGTTTGTGATGCTCATGTTGCAAAGAAGTTGTATATTGAAATACAGCATTTATTCGAAAAATGCATTATCTGTCCTCAGCATTAAAAGATCATTTTACTTTCTCCACATGCACATAACATTCAGAGTAGCTCGGGTATAAAGTACTTTGCTGGTTTTCAGTAAACATTTCAGTAGTTCCAGTGAATTTAATTCCCACTTTACTATTACAGAAGTGGCAGACTGAAGGGATTAACAAATTCTTAAATTTTCCGTCAAAATAAACAGCTCTTTCCATGGTCAGACACAGGTGAGTAATATCTGCTGGCCACAATGGAGGCAGTAAATGTATTGTTTATCAGAAATCCTACCTACTCTTAAAATTATTCCTGCCTTATTGTAACACAAGCTAACATGCAAAAGACACGATTTCTATAAATAAAATCTCCTACCAGTATCTCACTCTCGTGGTCTTGAGGATACATAATTAGACTCCCCAATGAGACCCCATGTGTGAAAGATTTTTCAGCCTTCTTCAAGTTGGGTGTCTCTGCCTACTTGTGGAGCAACTTTAATTGGTACTTCTGTAGAAGAATCTTCTGTTTTCCAAAAGCAAAATGTTTATTTCTGTAAATATGGGGACTCCAGATGCAAACTGAAGTCAATATCAAGCCTATTTGTTCCACTAAAATACACAGGGGACTAAGTAAGGGGTCTGCTGATGTAAACTTACTTTTAGAGGTGTCAACCTCCAGGAATGGAATCCAGGATCTGTAGTTATAAAATTACTGTTATGGGGTAGCAGTTTTAATTACTATGTAATTTTAATTACTAAATTACTAAAGTGTGTAGTCTGGAGAAATGTAATAATGGAACAGCTCTTAATAATTGCGTCAGTGCAAATTTAGGGATGCAACTTCCACTTTTTAAATTAAATTATCTTATTTTTGTGGCCTACAGAACTCCGTAATTAATGAAGAAGAAAAACCTTAAATTCAAACCAAGTATTCTATTGCTGCTTGTTTGTCTTCCCTTTGGATACACATAGCAAAAACAGTTCCCCATCTAACAAAGAACCTTTTATTCCTTTTAAATCACCGCAGTGTTTCAGCATTCCATTAAAATCATTACATGCTTTTGGTAATATTTCTGCAGATTACATTGCATTAGAGACTCTTATGATGATGTCATCACACTGGAGAGAGTGTTGTCTAGAAATGTTTCTTCTCTTTGATGCTGTGTCATTTTTTTGGTTCCTTTTTAAACAACCAGCATCTATAAAACAGAAGGGATGAAGAGGCTGAGAAGACTTGCTTATCAAAAGTAGCACTTAAATAGAGATGGAAGCAGAGCACTGCTGATTTTCCTAGCTCAGAAAGTTTTTATGTTACATTTCTTCCACCATTTCCCTAGGGAGAAAGACTGAAAATATAGGCTGCTATCACCCTTCCCTCAGGAAGGAAGAGCACTTCCACTTTGTATAATCCCATAGTGAAGATGTGGGTTCAGATCCCCTTGGGCAAAGCAGGGATGTAAACTGGTTTTCCCACATCATCAGTGAGTGTTCCAGCCACCCCAGTACTGGAAAGGGCTGGGGTTATTTCCTCCCGGCCTGTGAATAAAGACTCCTGTTTCTAAAGCTGATCATGAAAAGTGATGGGCACTGAAATATTGCAGAAATGTCAAAAGAAACCGTACTAGTCTGCCCTGAATCAGCCTTTTTTTTTTTTTTTTTAGAAAATAACTAATAGGTAAAGGATCTTTTGTCCATTTTCTAAATTCAAGATAGTAAGTCCAGCTGCTCAAAAGGATTGTTTCCCAGATGGTCAAACTCCATCGTCTCCATCAGGACACAGGTACTTTATTGTCTTATCCCCTTGGAGTAAGCGCACACACCCTTATTGCTTGTTCTGCTCTCGTGCCTTGCGGAGAATAACAAGATTTGTGTTCTTCATTTGTTCCTTGACTCGTCCTGTACTGTGTTCAAGAAATGTATTAAGCACGCGTGGTTTTTTTCTACTTTGACAGAGCACCGGATCTGCAATGGCCTGCCAGAACCAGTCCTACTTTAACCACCCGCTCCATCACCCCCTTGTATCTCCGTGCAGCGCTCTGGGGAAGCGCCTCCTTTAATCGCTTTGCATTCAGAGTCCGTCGCTGGGAGCCAACTCTCACCATACAGTCTGAGGTAAGTATCTATGTGTCCTGAAAGCATTAAGACTCTTCCTCAAGTATTCTTTCATTTTTCTTCCTGAAAAAAACTTGACATCTGGCAAATGTTGTTTACTTGCTTTTGAAACTAAAGTTCTAAGTTAATTCTTTAAGTAGGAAGAACGTATTTTACATCTTGGTCTATTTTCATATAGAAACACTTATGTTAAAAATTAGATACTTCTCCATTTCCTGTTTTTTAATAATAGCTTGCACACCTAGATACGAAAGTAGTCTGTGCATTAAAGTACTGAGTTGGATTTTTTTCCCTTGTTGACATACTTCTAAAATACCAGAAAATAGTCAAAATATTCAAAACATAAAGCAACAACATCAATAACTTTTATTTAAAAAAGGATAGTCAAATAAAAACTGTACAGTGTAAAGTTATAGTAATAAAGTATGCCTAATATTAATACTGTAAGTTTTTAAATAATTGTGATAAATTAAAACCACTTTGTATTTAAAACCACTTTGTTAGTTTTAGAAAGAATTCCTAGGAACTGAAAAACAGCAGTGATAACATCATTCAAATAGAAAGCTTTTATTATTATTATTATGAGAGAGTATATTTCATATAAGTGCAATTTCCCCCTGATTTTCCAATTCTACAGTTAGACTTCCAGTTTTCCAAACCACAGATGCATTCATATTTTGACTGCACCCTACTGTTCTGAGTCTGGAGGCTCACGGCTGGGAGGGATCAACGCCACAGCAATATCTGTTAGGTATCCACCAAATGCCTCCATCTCTTTTCTGTCACTCTGGTACTCCTACTCTTCTTAGAAGGCTCTCTCCGTGCTCTCCTAGTATCATGCTGCACAGAGAAGGCTGGCTCGTGCTTTTCTTCTTCATTCTGTGCTTCCCCAAATCCTACACAATGTAAAAGTGGAAGGAACATTAACCACCAGGTAGTCTGCCCCTTAACAAAAAGGTTCCTAGTAGTTAGTGTAATCTCTTTTTATACTGTATCAACTCTTCTTATGTGGACTTGTGTATAAAACTAGAAACAGACATATTTCAGAAAGCTATCATTAACCCCAGCACCAAGTCTTCTTTCTAATACAGCTTTCATTTCCTGCATCAGTTCAGCAAATATGAAATACTATAACCCATAGGAGAAGCTGATTTTCGGATATTTTCCAAGTCAAAGTAAAATTAACATATATTGGTATTTTTTTCATTAATGAATGATTGTTTTTTTCCAGTTTCAAAATTAAAAAAAAAAAAAAGTAACTAAACCAATAATTCAATCACTACACCTATCTTTCCTTTCTTAGTGCTGATGTCCCTAGCAAAAATTTAAATTCTCCTTCCATCGTTCTCCTCTATTGTGAGAAGAAAAAAAAACAACAACAAAAATACAAAAACAAACCGAAATATACTGACAGTAAAATACATAATGGCATGCAAATGTAGTGATGGAAGATCCAAACTACACTGAAGTTTTTTAAGCACTTAGTGAAAATTAGCAGTACTGAAAAAGCTGGGCCTTTAGACATAATGCCCATGTTCAGGACGATGGGTGCGATGACTATTTGCCTGCATAGCTCAGACTGAAGGAAAAAGGGGGTGTCTGCAGTCAAGAACGATGAAAAGCTTTTGTTTGGACATTGTTGTTTTGTCTTGATAATTGCACCTTCAAACAAAAGTTTATCAGAAAAGTAGAACAACACCCTGCTCTGTGATTAGCTCTAAAATCTTTTTGGCAGGACTAACACAGTGCTGATAAAGACCTGTTATACACCTCACTGCGTAAAGTTGCATGTGTCACTGACCTCTCATTAGGATGAAATCTTGACCCTACCCAAGTTAGATTTGTCACTGATTTAATTGTAGCTGCAATTACCTCCTTAATGTTTTTGAACATCTTTGGAGAAGACAATTAGCTACTTCTGGCCAAGTCAAACAAGCAGGCAACTTCATGGCAGATTTCCCTGCCATGATCTCGTGAGGAATGGTTTTGTCTCTCCTATTTCCAACGATGATGAAAAGAAAGAAAGGACTAAAGTACTTCGGGTTCGGTAAAAGGTTGAAGCTGGGCAGAGAGCACTGCAGAGGAAAGTCTTCTCCTGTAAGGATCAGTTTTGCCAGCTGTAGGTGTTGCTCCTGCTCTGGTGGTGTATTTTCACCCAACTAACATCAGAAACTGCACTCTGTCGAGAAATGAGCCCAGCAGCTCCTTGAAGACAGAAAAAATACTGTACAAAACTTCAAATGCCAGCGTCCACACCATGGACACTAACCCACCAAGGTTTGCGTTATCTTATTTTGAATTGTTTGTTTCTGCAACATCTTTTGTAGGTGGGGAACAGGTTTTACCAACCTACTTCAGAGAGATTCACCCCCAGATCTTTTTGCTGGGGTCTCTGCCGTAATGCGGGGAGGAGAGAGGAGCCCCTGCTGCAGCAGCGGCCTGGAAGTCACGCTAGCCCTGAACCCTTGATGTGATTTTCACCACGTTTCTCCCACTTGTCTTTAAGCACCGCAGGGTGACCCGCTCCAGAGAGAGACTGTGGAAAGTTTTAGCTGGAAATAACCAAACCCATCCCTTCCCCCCCCCCCCCCCCCCGCAGGGTGCTCTCAAGGCCGAGAGAGGCCACTGAGGGCCGCACACCCGCCGCGGCACGGATCCGCCGGCTAGGCCGGCTGCCGCCCGGCGAAGCGGCGGCCCCGAGGCAGCGGGGGGGGGGCTGAAGGAAGCCCCCACCTCCCGGCGCGGCCCGGAGGCGGCGGGGAAGGCCGAAGAAAGACTCCATCTCCCGGCGTGCCGGGCGGGCGTTGCGCATGCCCGCCCTGCCACAGCGCCCGGCGCTCACGCCTCCCCCTCAGCCGGGCTGCGCGCGGCGGAGCAGCGGTAGCACCATGGAGGCCGTTCCACAGCCCCAGCCCCGGCCCGGCGGGGCCGCCGCCGCCGCCGCCCCCCCGCTGCCGCTGCCACCGCCACCACCACCCCCGCCAGAGCAGGAGCGGAAGCTGGAGCAGGAGAAGCTGTCGGGGGTGGTGAAGAGCGTCCACCGGCGGCTGCGCAAGAAATACCGGGAAGGTAACCGCGGGGGAAGGGGGGGGGGGGGTTGCCCCCCTCCGCGACGCCCGGGCCGGGCCGCCCCGCTCCCCTTTGCCGCGGTGAGGTGAAGGGGGGGCGGCCGTGCCGCGGCAGGAGGAGGGAGGGCGCGCCGCCCCCCGCGGGTGGTGGGGGGGGGTGGGTGGGTGGGTGGGTGTCTGTGCGAGGATCGGGGTGTTCCCCCGCGGGCGGAGAGGGGCGGCCCGGTTCCCCCCCGGCAGCCGCCGCCGGAGCGGAGCGCTGCCGAAGGGGGTGTGTCGGCGGGGGCGGGGGCTGGGAGCCGCTCCGGGCTCGCTTCCTGCTCCTCCCCGGGGGACCGGGGGCACCGCTGCCCGCAGCCCCGCTCGGGTCCGCCGAGGTTTTGCCGCTTTCCGTGGGCTCTTGGCGGCGGAGACCCCTTCCTGGCTCGGGAGGGCTCAGGGCGCATGCCTGAGAGCTTTTCCCGTGGGATGTAGGAGAAGAGAGATTGGTGTGCGCGGATAATGCTGCGAGGTGAAAACAGGCGCGTAGCTGGAGGTATATACAGCCCCTCTGTGCGGCCCTGCCTTACCGCTCCGTGTGACATCTAACAGCTTATAGCCGCAGCGAGGCCTGTCACCGCGGGCAGCTTCCAAGTTGCACGGCAGTGTTCTCCAAACGGAGGGTCGGCAGGAGCCGGGAGGGGACAGTAGGTCGTGAATGCCAAGAGAGACTGACTGGTGATCTGCGGAGGCACAGGTCTTTGTGAACTGTTTGTGCCTCCTGCCTTTCAACGGTGGAGGAATAGTGCAGGCTGGAGCACACAGCAAAAGAGTTGGGGAAAAGCTGTTACAAAAATAAATTACTCCCGAGTCCTTGAAAAATCTACTTTGTCATCAGCATTAACGCCCTTTTGCAAGGTTCTTATGGGTGGTATTGGAATGCTTAAAACCTCCCAGAAATGCTTGCAGATGACTGTCAGAGTTGAGATTTGTTTGCTGAAATTTGTAGCCTCCTCAGGTTGATCTTAATGATTTGTTTAGTCTTCCTTATACACAGGTTACAAAAAAAAAATAATCCATTCATTCTTTCAGTGAGTCCACAGCTCTGCTAACCTGGTGCATACCCCAAGGACACTTCTAAAATAAGAACTCTTCCTATTGTAGACACTAGTTCTTGCTACTCTTCTATGTCTGCCAATGATACTTCTGTTGAAGTAACAAGGTCATTCTGCTTTCTGACTTCAGAAGTCTTCACAGGAGCCTGTCCATGGGATTTGGGCACAGATGCCTACCTATGTAGACACGAATCAAGAGCCGCTGTTTATTTTGGCCTTGGTGAGCCAAAACTGAAGGGAGGATCTCCCTCGTTCTCTTGACATTTAGGTGAAAGAACATAGTACGTTTTAACAGTGAAATCCTGGCAAGAGAGCCTAGCTTTGAGCAGTTCATATTACTCTGTTATTTCAGAGTGCCTGGAGATTAAGACAGACAAACATTGGCACTGTTAACTTTAAAAAAAAAAAAAAAAAGCGAGCAATCTCTGTAACAACTGAATTTTTTTTAGATGAGAGGCTAAATTATGTGGAAATCTATGTAAGCCTGCTTCTCAGCAAAGAGCAAGTTACTGTGCAAGGGTAAATTGTGGTTTACCTTTAGTTCAGTGTAATTGGTTAAACAAAAGAACATATAGTACTCTTAAGTTACTTCATATGTCCTTTAAATCATGTGTTAGTGAAAACTTTACAGTGATTTTTCTAGCCACTCTAAGTTAGTAACACTCTGTATTTTCATGGAGAGAGTTAAAACCCCAGCAGTTTGTCACATCTATGCAACAAGGTGAGCTCCACCCATTGCCTACTCATCCAATAGTAGGTGGTCTTTACTAACAATTAATAGTTGTAGTACTTCATATATTACATTGTTCCAACTTCAGAATTTTATTTTTTGAGTCTTCTGCCCCTACATTTCTTTATTCTTCTAAAAACAGAATTGAGAATCTCCTTCCTGAGTACCTTTAATGTCATTCTGAAATTGTAATACTAGTACATGCTTGACCTCTGAAGGATCTTTTGTTGTTTGTTTTTTTTTTTTTATTTAGTTTTCTAATAGTCAGAGACAGTGACTAGCAAGTACCTTACTCTGACAAAATCAAAGTTGACAGTTTACTAGAGAGAAGTAAAAAAGCAACAAATCATCTGTAATTTCTCAGTACAAATTGAATTGTAACTTGGATATGAAAAAGCAAAGGTAAGAAGTGCATCCTTTGTTATATGCTTACAGCTTATTACCCAGGGAAAAACCCTCTTGTCTCCACAGTGTAGAGCACCCACCTCCATATGAAGCAGAAACAGAGCTATCTGTATTATTCCAGAATCTTGTACTGTCTTTTTGTTTTGCCCTTTTTTTCTTTTTTTTTTTTTTTTTTACTCTGCCTCTTCTCATGTTTACTAGAGTGCTACGAAGCTAGTTTCCATTTTGTCTAAATAAGCAAACTACTAGAATTGCTGTTGCATGGACTTCAGTGCTTGTAGATACTAAAATAGAATTGCATATTAATTTTGTTGGTAGAGGAAAAAGCATGTTGAGTATCCTTCTGAAAGCTACATGATTATGTTGCACAGGGTGGATAAGTCTGAGAAAGCCCTTGGTATTGTAATATGATCTTAAGTTACTGTCTTCTGTTAGAAGTGTTGAAGGGAAATAGATGCGTCCTTGAGACACCGAGATGTTTGTTCATAGAAGTTACACAGGCTTGATTTTAATAAGCTGATTTCTTTAAGAATTCATTTGCCTTGCTGATGTTAGCAAGCCCTGAGTTTCAATGAGCAATTGTAAAAGGCAAGCCAGTGTATTATCTGACTTGCTTATAACTGGCACCATTGTTATAATTTTGTTTCATTTCCCACAATGGTTGCCCTTTTTCTTGAAGATGAGCCAGTGCAAAAGCGACAATATGCCTCAAAACTGGAAGCAAACATGTTTCTGAAGAAGTTGCATACTTGTCAAAGTGCAAAAGCATATTTCTTAACTGGGGGTGCATCACAACAGGTTTTTTTGAAGTTACTAAGGAATTACTAGAGTAAAGTTTAGTCAGCTTCATGCCATCTAAAGGGTTTGATGTTATTTTTCTAGGTGAAAAACTGTAACTCTTGAGATTCATCAAAGCTGAATCTTGTCTTTTTTAATTTTTGCATTTGTTGAACAACAGTGGATGGATTTTTGTATGTACTTCTGTACTGTGGCTTATGTCATACCATAGTCCCAGAGCATGCCAGTGTTATGTATGGCAAGTGTTTGCCATGTTGAAAATGGTTCAGCCTCAATTATTTTAAGTTTGCATTGAAGTGCATTTTTTTGTTTTCTTCAACAACTTTTAACTTTTTTTACTGTGTGACTAGTACTTACATTTTCCTATTTTTGGGATATTACTAAACTAATGTTACTTCTAGTGGAAATATTTATACATTTTTTTCTCCTTTTCATCCTTTTTTACTTCCTTTCCTTCCCCTTATACGCTCTCTGTTGTTAATTAGTAAATGAAAAAGGGAATCATGTAATCATAAATGCCATGGCAGATTTGGTATTCTGTGATTGTAGTATACTATTTATTTTTCTTCCAGTGTGAATCCTACACTAGTATTATGTGTCATATATTTTTAAATGGTTTAATGAAGTTTAACACATGAGTGTGGGATTTTTAGTGGGGAAAAAAAAGTGTATTTTTTTTAATTAAGGTAATTGGTCTTTGTCCACACTGAGCAAATATGTCAACTAAATTAGCTAATCATTAAGAAGTTGTTTCAGACTATTTTAAGGCAGTGGTAGAGACAGAGAAAACCTGTCTTGTGGTTCCTAAAAATATCCATTTTTCCTCAGGTTAGCCTATAAACTTCATGAAGGAAAATTTCTTAAGTGAGAACAAAACACACTGAGGTATAACATGTTGACTTAGGAGTGTATCTCATTAGCATAAGACTCATGTTTTTCTGAAGCTTTACTTCTGTTTCCTGTCCAAATGATTAGTTTAATCTTAATTACTTTATGCACCAGGGTAAAATCCAAAAACTGAAACAGCTCTCAAGTGCTTAGTTACTCACTTAGGAGAAACTTCAGGGTTCTTCATGCTTGACACAAGCACTTAGAAAGTACAGAAATTGGGGTTTTTCATGAGACTTGAATTTCTCCCCCCAGTCTGTGACAGCATGGGGATGGGGAAAAAACAATTTTTACTTTACTCTCTTGTTCTTGATTCTGTTTCCTGGCACTGTAGGTGACCCCAAATTTTACAGGATTTTCCTCTATGCATCTTCTAGGCACCTGCAGCCGTGAGCTGGAGTATGTTGTATCAGTTGCCTATATATGCATGTATGTTGCATATATTGCATGTATGCTGATGTCTGTCAAGCCTGACAGACAGGCTTGTAAAAACAGATTTAGTGGTTCATAGGGAACTAAACATGATCTATTGAATATCTGCTATGTGATAGTAGTTTGTTTCCAGTTGCTTGTAGCAGCCAAGTAGGTTTAATTTTTACTGTGATAAAATCCCTTCCCCTGATACAGAGGCAGCCTTTTTTTCTCTTGAGTTGTTTACTACCTTTGTAGTCATGCAGGGCTGTATTTATCAAGTGAACATCTTCTGTGCAGCATGACCTTCAGTTATAGATGGTTTTGTACATAGTCTGGAAAGACAATTTACAGGACCCTCTCCTTCTCCCTGGAAATCCCATATTGAGTACAAGTGGAAAAAATTTGCTGAGGTATATGTAAAGGTATTTTATGAAATATTTTGCGGTGCATTCTCAAAAACTTTTAATTTCTCCTTCCGTACACCTGTTAAGGCTGTTCAGGCTTGGAATCACACAGAACTGGTATTTGACCTCATATGAGTTACTGTATCACAGAAACTGATAGAAACATTGCTAAGTGGTGGTTTGATTCCTTAAAAGAAGGATTTGTTGAAACTTCAAAGAAATGGAGAATAACTTTATTAAAAGGTTTGTCAAATCCAGAAAAGTAGAA